TTCTCTAGTTTGTAGAGTTTGTCATCCACTTTCTGCTTTCCACAGACTGGAACAGTAGTTCTCTATCTCCATTCTTTTAAGACTTCACTTTTTACCAACATAATTTCTTAAATTTTTCTTTAGTTCAATGACCTTATTTGGAAGCTTTCCCAGTTCTCTTGATAGAAATTATTTAGTGAATATACTTGAATTTATCCTCCTCTGGGACTTTACTTTTGTCCTTAGAATTGTTAATTCTCCACTGAACCAGAAATGTATCCCCTTTGATATAGAAGCAAAATTGAGGTTGACAAGTTCTGTTTTCTTACCATTTTATCCTAAGGCAAATTGCCTTTTTTCTCTAAACATCACTAAAAACACCCCTTTTGCTTTTGCTAGCCTTTTGGTAAATCTGGATTTATTTTGGGCCTTGGCCTCCTCGTGTCATTCTTCCAAGTCTTGCCACTTTTTCATGCTGGTTGCTTATGTGTCTGTCCATCTTTTCTGTCCTTTTAGAAGAGCTACCTGCACATCTTTTTTTTTTTTTTTTTTTTCCTCTGCTGTTCCTACCTGCTTGAGAATTTTTGAAGTGCCCATATAGAAAGGTATTTTACGGGCTTTCCTCTCAGAGAGCATCTCATGCCGTGGCGTTATGTCTGTTTTCAAAACTTCTTAACTCTGGGCCAGGAACGGTGGCTTACACCTGTAATCCTAGCACTTTGGAAGGCTGAGGCAGACAGATCGCCTGAGATTGGGAGTTCAAGACCAGCCTGGCCAACAAGGGTGAAACCCTGTCTCTACTAAAAATACAAAAATTAGCTGGGCAATGTGGTGCATGCCTGTGGTCCCAGCTACTTGAGAGGCTGAGGCAGGAGAATCACTTGAACCTGGGAGGTGGAACAGTGACCTGAGATTGTGCTACTGTCCTCCAGCCTGGGTGACAGAGACTCCATCTCAAAAACAAACAAACAGACAAAAAAACACGCAACTTCTTAACTCTGGCTTCCTAGAGTTTGTGCTACACGATTCCTACTTTGTTGTCAGAAACACTAAGATCTCATTCTCCTGAGGTTCTCCCTTGATTTCGTCAACCAGTTTCTTCCTTGGTCAGAGTAGCAGTTCTCCTGCTCTCCCTATGTACCTGTGGAACATAAAAATGTCAGCACACTTGGTCTAGAACTTGTCAGTTGTTCCATTGTCAACTGAATGAGAGTTTGAATAGGTTCCAGGGTAGTTGAAATACTCCAAGATGACAGTGTGCCACTCTGTGTTAGAGGTGGCTTCAAGAGAGTCCTATCTACTACTTCTACTTGGCTGGGAACCTTTGGTGTTCCCACAGTAACAATGTATCTGGGCATCTTTCCTGCTGACCCTGCCTGAATGCTTATATATAGGGTTCCTTAGTAGCCCCCCTCCAGTGGCCCTGTTCCTGTGGAATAGCACAGACCCTTTGTCACATATACATATCCACGTATACATATATACACATATACATATATGACATACAGATATAATTCTTTGTTATATTAAACTAGCTTCTTATGTGTTGGTATGTAAGTTCCTGAAGACAAATATATTATTTTGGTTGCTTACCATTTATTTTCCCTAATGAAGCATCAGAAACCTACTCTGAAGGAATGTTTGAAGGACAGAGATTAGGAAATCATTTTGATTTCAGAGGGTCATTTTCCTGTTCATATATTATGGAAACGAACAGAAAACAATGGACAATTTGAGAGCCCATGAATGCATGTAAATTAGGCATTTTTTCAAGTTTAGAAACTTACAGGTAAGTGGATATGGAATACCTTGCTTGATCAGTCATCCTAATTGCCAGTTTCTATTCTAGAAACTATAAAATTGAAAACTGGCAGGATAATGAAGTAAAAAACTATTTTTAGCCCTACAAGTGACTGGGCAGGATATTGAGATTCTAATAAAGGCTAACACTCGCAGTATAATTCATCTAGATCAGGTCAGCAAAGATTGTAGTATGCAAGACCCAGAGCCTGCCCTATGGGGGACCCAAACAAATACAACACTAGGCCTTTATTCAAGAAGTTCTTAGTTTGTCTTCCAGCCGGAGGCCACCAGGAACACACTTGTAGTTGAACAAGTTGAGTGTATTACACATTGCAGCAAGGGAGAATGCACACCATGGGGAATTGTGGGGCATCTCAATAAGGCACTGTTAGAAAAAGTCATTATAGGATTTGGGTTTGTGTTAGGTGATCTGGAGGATGGTTTAAGGATGTGGTACTTTACTCTGAGTTAGATGCTTTTGGGAAGTAAGGCAAATTCTATGACTGGTATCTTAACAGTTTATCTAAAGGGAGGGCCAACTAGAGAAAGACTAAAGCTGTAATTGATAAAGAAGCCCCCTCATTCACATTACCAGCACTAGGGGATATTAGGTATTTTGTGGCTTGGACAGTGTTCATGTTTTGTCTGTGTTCAGACGGATTACAGAGTGATCTTGTTTTTTTCTTGATCCATCATGATCGCAGAATGGCCTTGTCTAATGTTAGTGTTCTGCAATTGCTTATGTGTAACAGGAGAACACCACAACTTATCTGTGAGTACCAAGCCAGCTCATGGCAGTATCAATGCCTAGCTGATAATAGGCCAACTTTTGGATGTTAGAGGCTGCTTTTCTTATTCTCAGATACGATATACACCAAATAAAATTGGATGGAGATGGTGCTTAGTGGAAAATGTTACCTGTTTTTGTTTCCCAATTCATTTTTAAGTACAGGCTATAAGACACATTAATAAAACTCTTGAATACGGCCAAGTGTGGTAAGTGCAATTAAAGAGGCTCAAGCAGTGTGTTTCACAGGCATGGGGAGTAGCATGAGAAAATGCTTTGGGGGTGTGGGGGCAGTATCTGGCCTGGGCCTTGGAGGATTGGCCAGATTTAGATATGTGGAGTTGGAGAGGAAAGCAAAGCCACTGGAGGGTAAGCATAGGCTCAGAAGCAAGAAGATAAAAGTCAGGTTCAAAGCATGGTGAGAACCCTAGTTTCGACTAAATGAGTGGTATGTAATGGGAAGGCAGTGTGAAGAGGTACTTTTGGGTTAGATTATGGAATTCAGTTGTTTAGAAATTCAGTTTGTGGGGAGAGAAAATCAGAATTTGTTATATACCTACTATATGTGCTAGGTGCTTTGTATATATGATATTATTTAATCTGTAATTCTTGTAAACCCTGGAAAGTAGATATCATACCCATTTTACAGATGATGAAAATGAGCTCTAGAAAGATTAATTTAACCTCCACTGAAATAGTTGGAGGCACAGCCATAATCTTAACCAGTAACTGACTGAAAAGGTGGCACTCATTCTACTTCAATGTGCTACTTCCATTCTGCTGTAATACAGCCTCTTGTCATCAGTGGAAACCATTAGAAGCTTTTGATCAGAGAAATGGCAAGACCAGTTAGAACTGTGCTTTAGGAAGATTATTCTGGTAACAAAACAGTGGTAATTGATGTGTATTGAGTATATGGATTGGGCCCTGTGCTAAGAAACTTAGATACATAATGATCTCTTTTAGGTAATATATAGGATGGATTGAGAGTGGAGAGGTTAACAAAAGATGAAAAAAATCTGATTAAATTAGCAGAAAATGTGAAAGCAGTAGAGAACAAAGCAGAATCAGGTAGAAGGGAAATGTAAGAAGATAGGGCCCTTGGAGGAGACAGGTGAGGAAGAAACAGCTGTTGTCTTGGCTTCTACTTTAAGTAATACTGAATCAAATATGGCCTCTACAACTTCGTCAGTGTTTAAGGAAAAGCTTGGCTATCTTAAGGAACTGGCCCCCTTAAGACCTTTTTTGAACCGCTGTTTTTATTTTTTTTATTAAAGTAGAAACATGTCCAGTTCTTTATAGATTTATTTGCCCCAAGAATGAAATGCTGCAGATGAGTTAATGTTGCTTTCAGAAAACTCTTTTGTTAACAGTGCTGAAATTTTTGTTTTTGTTTTTGTTTTTAGCAATAGGTATGGTTATTAACAAAGGAAGGTAGAGCTTCACTTTGTAAAATCCATTAATTTTTTTTTTTATATATTTTTTTCAAGACGGATTCTCATTGTCACCCAGGCTGGAGTGCAGTGGCGTGATTTTTGGCTCACTGCAACCTCCGCCTCCTGGGTTCAAGCGATTCTCCTGCCTTAGCCTCCTGAGTAGCTGGGATTATAGGCATGTGCCACCATGCCCAGCTAATTTTTGTATTTTTAGTGAAGACGGGGTTTCACTGTGTTGGCCAAGCCGGTCTCAAACCCCTGACCTCGGGTGATCTGCCCGCCTTGGTCTCCCAAAGTGCTGGGACTACAGACGTGAGCCACCTCACCTGGCCAGAATCCATTAACATTAAGTTTTTAGTTAAGCTTAAATGATAACCTAAGTGAATTTCTTTTTTTTTTTTTTTTTTTTTAGATGGGGTCTCCTTCTGTTGCCCAGGCTGATCATACCACAGCCTCAAGCTCCTGGGCTTGAGCAGTCCTTTTGCCTCAGCCTCCTGAACAGCTGGGACTACAGGTGCATGCCACCATACCCAGCTGATTTATAAAAGTTTTTGTAGAGAGGAGGTCTTGCCATCTTGCCCAGACTGGTCTTGAACTCCTGGGCTTAAGCAATCTTCCCATCTCAGCTTCACTAAATGCTGGGATTAAATTTTAATAATTAAAGAAACCTAAATATGGGCAAAGCTTTCAATAAACAATTAGGATTTAGTCACGTTCCCTTTTACGTAATATTGAAGTACCTATAGAGATAGTCACACAGCTGTTTTGTTTTCTAGATTAGAAAACCTACAGTTTTATGTTCTGATATCTTTATTCTGATTTCTTTAGCTGTTTTTAATAAAGCAAACTTAAAAAAACACAAATCTTATTTGTAATGTAACTATGAACTAGAACATTTGTAATAGAGAAAAATTGAAAATAATCTAAATGTTTATCAGCAGAAAAAGGGGTGAATAAATTATAATATGATCATACAGTGTGATGCTATATTGCAGTTTAAATGAATCAGCTAGAGCTATACATCTCAACATGGATACATTTGTTGGCCAAAGTGTTGTTTCCCCCACTGGAAAAAAAGACAGAAGAAGAAAGTTGGAGAAGCCTGTGTCCAATATAATTCTATAATATAAAGGAATTTTTTAAATTGGGGTAAGCATTTTGAGGTAAACAGTTCAGTAGTGTTAAGTACATTCACATTGTTGTGCAGCCGTCACCACTGCCTATCCACAATATGAAGTTTTAAAACATTCAAGGCAATATTATATGTTGTTTATAGATGCTTATATATTGTTTATAGATGCATAGTTATGCAGTAAAATCTAAAAGCACGCATTCTAATAATCACCAAAATCAGAATGGTGTTTATCTCAGAGAGGGTGTGGGGGAAAAGTACACAAGGGACTACAGTTGTATTTGGGCGGTGGACATACAAGTGTTCATAAATTATCTATACTTTTATATACCTGGCATATTTCATAGTTTCAAATTTTTCTTTTGTAAAAAAAAATTCCCACTAGAAATTTCCAAATGTTTGATAGTCATTAACTTTTTGTAGATCTGGGCTATTCAGTTTTAAGAAACATGGTGGTACCAGGATCCAAGAGGTGAGGTTGCTACCTGTTGAGGCCTGTTAACTTTACGAGAAGAGAAATCTTTGCCAAATGCAGTGTTGTCATCGCTGCCTACCATCTTAAGTGTCACAGGTAGCAGATGTTGTAGGTCTCAAGCCTAAAGGTTGGAGAGAATGAATCTATAAAGAAAGGAAATGCAAGAGGAGAGCAGGTTTTAGGAGGTGAAGATGAGTTCGTTTTTAGGCTTGAGATGGTAGACATACAAGAAGACATATATACTAATTGAATTTAGAGATGAGAGACAAGAGCTTGGGGGAAAAGTTAGAACTAGAAGTACACATTTGGAAATTCCAGTGTATTCCTTGAATAAATGAGTTTGCCGAAGGAAAGTATAAAGAACAGACTGAGACAAAGTATTGGGGAAGGGGATTAAAGAAGAACCAGTGAAAGAGATTGAGAAGGAATAGGTTGAAGGACAAGTGGGAAAAGAGAAGAGTAATGTGCCATAGAGATTAAGGCAGGAAAAATTGTCAAGAATTTATTCAGATTAATCCAGTATTTATTGAATGAACACTATGTGATAATCACTTTTTTGTATTGCAGAAAATTAAGAGTGAGAACTGAGAAAAAGCCATTGGATTTGACGGTTAAGGTAGAGTTACCATGTCATTGTAACTATGCTCCTTGTCTGTAAGCTCTTTTTAAAGACAGAGATCCTGTTCTAGTTGTCATTCTAATCTCAGAGCCTGACACAGTGTCTGTCACATTTTTTAGTGCTCAGCAGTAAATATGTGAACAATGATACCAAATATAAAGTACTCAGATTTCTTCTAGAATATAAAATATATTTTTTGCTGCCTAGTCTATATGTTCCATTGCTCTCCAAATCTCTCTTCTGTGTTTGAAAATACTATTTTTTATTTTCTCAACACCTCTTTGATATTATCAGTAACCTTCTTAATTCTTATACAAGTTTCCTTATCAATAACTTCTTTAATCAGTTCTAACATAGGTTTCTTCTGACCTCATCATGATTCATTCAGTGTTGCTTTTTGAAACCCTATTTTTTGCTTTCTTTCTTACTCCTGTTACTCACTCATCAACTCTATATAAAGACAGTCCTATCAGTCAGAGCTGTGTAGAGGTAGCATGAACTTCCCTGGGGAAAGCATTGTTTTCTATCCTGTGGTATTCAGCAGAATCAGGACCACAATTTGAAGCATATGAGAGTATTAAACACAGGTGGCTAGACTAGCTGGCTTTAAAAAAAAAAGTTTTGTTGAGAAAGAGTTTACATACCATGCAATTCACCTATTTAAAATGTACAGTCACTGTAGTTTTTAGTATATTCATAGAGTTGTGCAACTATCACTACAGTCAATTTTAGAACTTTTTAAATCACACACCTCCCCACCAAAAACTTCATACGCATTAGGCCGTCACTTTTTCCCTCCTCTGCACCCCTCCAAATCCCAGCTCTAGGTAATCACTAGTCTACTTTCTGTCTCTATAGACTTGCCTATTCTGGATATTTCATTTTAATGGAACCATATAATATGTGGTTTTCCATGACTGGCTGTATTCACTTATAATATTTTCAGAGTTCATCCATGTTGTAGTATGGATCAGTACTTTATTCCTTTTTATGGCTGGATAATACTGTGTTGTGTGGATATACTACATTTTGCTTATCCATTCATCAGTTGATGGACATTTAGATACTGTGAATAATGCCGCTGTGAACATTTGTGTACAAGTTTTTGTGTGAGTATATTCCTGGGTGTATACCTAAGAGTGGAATTTCTGGGTCATATGGTTCTTCTGTGTTTAACCTTTTGAGAAACCGCCAGACTGTTTTCCAAAGCAGCTGCACTGTTTTACGTTCCCACTAGCAGCGTATGAGAGTTCCTTTTTCTTTACATACCTCAAACACTTGCTATTATCTTTTTCATTATAGCCATCCTAGTTAACGTGAAGTGGTATCTCCTCGTGAGTTTAATTTGCATTTCCTTGGTGATGAATGGTGTTAAGCATCCTTTCCTGTGCTTATTTGACATTTGTTTGTCTTCTTTGAAGAAATTTTTGAGACCTAGTCTCACTTCTGTCACCCAGGCTGGAGTGCAATGGCGTGATCTCTGCTCATTGCATCCTCTGTCTCCTGGGTTCAAGCGATTATTCTGCCTCAGCCTTCCAAGTAGCTGGAATTACAGGCATACACCACCACGCCCAGCTAATTTTTTTGTATTTTTAGTAGAGATGAGGTTTCACCATGTTGGCCAGGCTGGTCTTGAACTCCTGACCTCAAATGATCTGCCCACCTCAGCCTCCCAAAGTGCTGGGATTACAAGCATGAGCCCCCACACCTGGCCACAATTGCTCATTTTTACTTGGGTTATTTGTCTTTTTAATGTTGCATGGTAAGAATTTTTTATATATTTTGATACTAACCCTTTTCAGATACATAATTAGCAAATATTTTCTCCCACTCAGTGTGTTGTCTTCACTTTCTTAATGGTGTCATTTGCAGCACCAGAGTTTTAAATTTTGATGACATCAGCTTTGCCTACCTTTTGTTTTGTTGTTTGTGCTTTTGGTGTCCTTAGAAACTATCCCCTAATCCACAGTCACAAAGATTTATATCTATGTTTTCCTCTAAGATTTTAAAGTTTTAGCTCTTATAATTAGGTCTTTAATCGATTTTGAGTTAATTTTTGTATATGGTATGAGATGGGGTCCAATTTTCTTCTTTTACATATGAATATCTAGCTGTCCCCAAACCGTTTATTGAGACTGGATGACTTTTAAGGCCACCTTGACTCTGAGGCTTTGTAGTACTTTGGTTTCTGTTATTGTCTAAACAGGTGGACAGTCAGGTTTTCATGTTATGGCCATCCATTTCTCAAGAATATATTGTGTCTGAAAACAAGGATTGCCATTAGTTTATCTGTTTCCAGGCTTCTCAGTTGCCTTCAATTTTATCCTCCTCTGACTTTTATGATACTGGTTTGTTTCTAGTCATCTTTGGCTAGTGCATCTTTCTTTTCTTTCTCTTTTTTCCACATAAATACAATATTCTTCCAGCCTTTTGGTATTGGGAACCGTTCACTCAATTTTAATTAGCTTTGTCATTTAGGTAGCTTAGAGTTTCCTCTTAAGCCTAACTGCAGTATAATAAAATTTTTTTTTCTGTATTCCATCGACACCTGGAATATAATGTATGAAAAATGTGTATTCAATTGTTCCCTAACAGTAAGCCTTCCAAGTTTCTTTATTATCTTCTCTATCTTAAACTCTTGATCTTGGAGTTTTCTGACTCTTCCTCCATGAGCTCTGTATTTTGTTCAGTGTTAAATGGCACTGATTACATGGTAATTAATAGACCTCGGACATGTTAACTTAAGAAATATGATTTATAAATTTAGAAGAGAAGAGGAGACTTTATTTCTTATAAAGGGTTACAACCTTCCGGGTGGCCATTCTGACAGGCTGGGAAGTGTAGCCTCCACCCATAAGCAGAAACACACACTTGGAGGGATGGGCAAAGGGAACAGGAATTCGTGCTGAGCAGGGTGGCCATATATACATATTCAATAAGCTGTTGGGGGAGTCATGAATATTTATGAAAGGAGAAGCATGTCCTTCATGGGTCTCATACACACAAAATGGCAGTAACAGCGTGGTCAGAGAGTGGAGTTTTCAGCCCTCTGACATCAAAAGGTGAAGCAGAAGACATGAAAACCCTTACTGTGCATTCTCTGTAGACTAGCCAGAACCATTCTGTGGTTGGTAGTCTCTTATCAGGCAAAAAAGGAGGGACAGCATCAGGTGGTTGGTTGATAGCAGTGGTGGGGTTTTTTGAAATGGCTGGTTTCTGTTTGGTAGTTAGGGAAGAAAGGCTAATAGTGGTTTGCGAGGGAAGGGGTATAATGAGGTAGGTTGGAATCCCCAATCCCATCGTAGCCAAGAATTTAGTTTTCAAGGTTAATCTGGGGTCCCCTTGGCCAAGAGATGACCCATCAGTCAGTTGGTGGGCTTAGAATTTTATTTTCAGTTTATAGACCTATCGTTTCCTTTTTATAGTTCTAGCCACCACCTCAGAGATTTGCATCTCACTGCTAAATTACTATAATAGCCTTTTTGATGTTTTCCCAGATCCTAGTTTCTGTTTATATTAGGCCCTATATTCAGCTGCTAGATTAATCCCCATCAAGTACTTCTCATCAAGGTTCACTGTATCAAATTTATATACCACACAAGTTAGCATTTCAACTCCTCCCCATCTTTACTTCTCCTTATCTCTTGTTACTTCCCTAAATGGGGCCAAACTAACTTGGTAGTAAGTCCTACTTAATGGTTTCTTTGTTCTCAATCTCATGTACACACTCTTCTTTCCTCCTGGTGTGCTTTCGCTTCTCTCCTATTCTTTCCCTTCAGTGATTGACTCCATTTGACTCCTCTTTTTGTTATTTTTAATTTTTTTATTTTATTTATTTTTTTGAGAGCGTCTCGCTCTGTCACCCAGGCTGGAGTGCAGTGGCGCAGTCTCGGCTCACTGCAAGCTCCACCTCCCGGGTTCACGCCATTCTCCTGCCTCAGCCTCCCAAGTAGCTGGGACTACAGGCATCCACCACCAATCCCGGCTAATTTTTTTTTTCTTTTGTATTTTTAGTAGAGATGGGGTTGTACTGTGTTAGCCAGGATGATCTTGATCTCCTGACCTTGTGATCCGCCTGCCTCAGCCTCCCAAAATCCTGGGATTACAGGCGTGAGCCACCACGCCCAGCCAACTCCTCTTTTTTTTAAAGACATATTTTGCATCTTTTCAATACTTGAATATTTAGTTTATCTAGTAATAAGGTCCTTGACACCCTGCTGCTGCTGCTGCTGCTGTTATTTATGTCTTTGTTTTAGATATTCTGGTTTTGAAGGCATTGTTCCATGTGGGAACTATTGTTTCTATTACCTTTGTCGCTCTCTTCTTTTCTTGCATATGGCAGAATCTTGAACTTAATAGGTATCCTGTAAATCTTCCTGGCTGACAGATCTATAAAAGTTTTGGGGGAGATGTGTAATGTCATTCTTAAATTTTAGAGATGCAAAATAATGCTTTTTATATAATTACCTGTTTTTAATTTTTAATTTTTTTGTTTTATATCAGATTTGAAGATAGTATTCTCAACACAGTAAGGTGAAGTTCCACAACATATTACTACAAATATTAGATCTAGTTTATTGAACATTAGCCACCTGATAAATCAGATTCTCTCAAGAGAAAAGTTAGCTTCCTGAATGCTGACCAGGCATGCTTTTGAAGGTGCGTGATAGCCAAAGCCAGTACTCATCATTTGATATACTAAGATCCTTGAAAATTTAAAAGGGGCATAGTCACCAGCATCCAGAACAAAGGATGATGATGACATGGTGATTTCCTTATTTTACTGTCTAAAGCTCTGCTTCTGTTGCTGACCTACTCTTAAAGAGAAGTATTTATTTTCAAAATTTTTCATGTCACTTAAAGTCAGTATTGAGAGGAAAAGGAGTATCACTGGAGTGGAGCTTGGCTGAGAAAGGATACAAGGCAGAAGGCAACTTCCAAGCCTGCCTGCCCACCCACCTTCTTTCTTACCTCAGGAGCAGAGTTGACTTCGAGAACTAAATTCTGATGTTTTAAATCTTACCCAAATTCGGCCAGGCGCAGGGCTCGTGCCTGTAATCCCAGCACTTTGGGAGACCAAGGGGGGCAGATCATGAGGTCAGGAGATCGACACCATCCTGGCCAACATGGTGAAACCCCGTTTCTACTAAAAACACAAAAATTAGCTGGACGTGGTGGTGCATGCCTGTAATCCCAGCTACTTGGGAGGCTGAGGCAGGAGAATCACTTGAACCAGGGAGTCACAGGTTGCAATGAGCCGAGATTGTGCCACTGCACTCCAACCTGGTGACAGAGCAAGACTCCTTCTCAAAAAAAAAAAAAAAAAAAAAAAAATCTTACCCAAATTCCTACCTAACAGGCCTTGGGAATCACACCCTACAAACTGTGAAGTCTCATCAGAGGGGTTTTATTTCACCCCATATAATCTAGCCCGCTTTCCCACCTGACTCTGGCGTGACTTCACATAACAAATAAGAAAAGAGATAAAAATATTTTAACCACCAATATATTTCCTTGCCATATCTTGAAACTGCCCTGCAAGGTTGTCTCTTGTGGGAAAGGTCCACATTCTATAGAGAATCTCCTTTCCACCCACTGTTTTTTCTTTCTTTCTTTCCAGACCCAGGAGATAATCAACTAAGGCACCCATTTAAGTCTGATAAGTGTAAACACCCAAAATCTGAGACAGATCTCAGTTAATTTAGAAAGTTTATTTTGCCAAGGTTCAGGACGTGCGTCCATGACACGGCCTTAGGAAGTCCTGACGACATGTGCCCAAGGTGGTCAGGGCACAGCTTAGTTTTGTACATTTTAGGAAGACATGATACATCAGTCAGTATGTGTAAGAAATACATTGGTTGGGTCTGGAAAGGCGGGATAACTTGAAACAAAGGCAGGAAGACTTAAAGTGGTAAAGGGGCTTCCAGGTCACAAATAGGTGAGAGAGGAGTGGTTGCATTCTTTTGAATTTCTGATTAGCCTTTCCAAAGGAGGCAATCAGATATGCATCTATCTCAGTGAGCAGACAGATGACTTTGAATAGAAATGGGAGGCAGATTTGCCAGGACCAATTCCCCACCTTGAAGGGGCCCATGATATTTTCCTTTCACAGAAACATTTTACAACCTACTCCCTCAGAAGTCTGCTCAGAGCTTCTTCTGCACAGTAAAACTTGGAAAAACTGGTTGCCACAACCCTTTATCTTAACCTAAACATTTCGTTTCTATTGATCCCAGGTCTTTAGATAAACTCAACCAATTGTCAACCAGAAAATTTAAAAATCTACCTATATATAAGCACTCCCCACCCCACCCCACCACCCTTCACAAATTATCCTCCTTTCTGGACAAACCAATGTATTTGATTGGAAGTCTCATGCCTCTCTAAAATGTATAAACCAAGCTGCGTAACATGGGCACATGTTCTTAGGACCTCCTGAGGGCTGTGTCATGGGCTAACCGCCTTGGGCACATGTTCTTAGGACCTCCTGAGGGCTGTGTCATGGGCCATGGTCACTCGTATTTAGCTCAGAATAAGTCTCTTGAAATGTTTTAGAGTTTGACTCTTCATCGACAACTTAAAGACAGTTCTGAGTTTATAGCATTTTATTAACTTTGTTAGTACAAGTTACTTTCTTGTTTTATTCTTTTTGTCCTTTATCCTCAACCCACATTCTGGTTCCCTTTCCTGTTCATATGCACCTACTCTAATGTGTTTATGTCTTTATATCCACATTTGCTTGAAAGATATATAATGTTGTTATGTGTGTGTTTTCAACCTACATAATGGTATTTGCTTATTCTTAACCTAATGCTATGTTTTTTAAAGATGTATTCATGTTGCTGTCAGTATGTCTAAAGTGTGGTTTCCAAAGCTATGTAGAATTCCATATTTGTATTCACTCCATTTTGATTTTCCATTCTTCCAGTTAAAGAAATGAGTGTTAACTTCAAACTCCCTACTACACTATTGTCACAGCAAATATTCTCACATAGGTCTTTGAAGTCTGTAATTCACATATATATAACCTTATTTGAGATTTTCTGTGGGATTTACTCACCAGAGTGGGATCATTGGATCACAGGGTGTGTACATACAGCCAGATCACTAGGCAGAATATCTGTATCACTTACCCACAGTGCATGAGGATTAATGCCTCTCCACATCTTTGTCAATTTTGTTCATCAGATCCAACAATTTTTTTAATTTCTATTTTTAGAGTGTTATTTAGTGTTGTTTATGCTCTCTAGTATTTTCTGTTCTGTAATGTTATCTCCCAGTGGTTTTTCTTACAAGCCTGTTTATTTGGCCATTTGAAGATTCCTTTCTGGTAGTTGGTGTTAACTTTTGACTGCTCTTGATGCAGGGAAAAAAAATGCAAGAAAATAGATGTAACACCTCCCCTTGCCTCTGCCCCTCGCCCCTCCCTCCAAGCCCTGCTCTTCCACTCACAAGATTGAGCCCCTTTTACACCCTGTTTGTGCTACATGAATCCTGTCTGCTTAGCTATAGCTGATTGGAAAGAGATGTATACCTACCCAAGCTGAGTACTTAAAGTCTTCCTCCAAGGAATTCGAAATTAGGATGTCTTAGCTAGGCTGTTGAAGAACATGCAGATTGAGGGGTGGGGGCGACCATCTTCCCCTGTGTGCACAAAGAAGCTAGAGAAATGGTCTGCAGAGAAGGAATAAAGAAGATGTGCACAGAAAAACAAAGAGAAAACCTTACGGTCCCATAGAGAGGGAGAGAGATTGAGCTAGAATGTGAAAGTACCTGTCCTGGATCCTGATGGCTTTCCAGTTTCTAGTTCTCTTTTCTCCTGAGACTGCATTGTATTTTCTTATCTGTATTAGTTAGGGGTGGCTAACTGCTGTAACAAATAGATTCCACAGTGTGTAGTGACCCTAACACAACAGAAGTTGATTTCTCACTCATACAGACAGATCCAGATGACTCTAAGTGGGGTGGCAGCAGTGGAGGGCTCTGTACTATGTAGTTATTTAGGAATCCAGGTTGATGGAGGTTTTGCCGTTTTCTACCCATGGCTTCCAAGGTCCCCCTGGGTGTCAGCATCCATGCTGCAGAAGAGTAATGATCATGGAGTTGAATAACAAGGGAGGTTTTATAGACCAGGCCTTGAGCTAGCACAGTTATTCACATTCCTTGGCTGGAACTCAGTTACATGGGCACAATTAACTGTATGGGAGTCTGAAAAATGTGGTCTAGCTAAGGACCCAGAAGGATGAGAAAATGGGTTTGGTGAACAACTAGAGATGATCACATCATATTTAGGATCTGTGTGATACCTCTATATCCTTTTAATTAAGTTCCCTTTTTTTTTCTTAAACTTAGTTTGAGTTGGCTTCTGTTATTTATACCTTAATGATTTGGTGTTTTCATGATAGCCATCTTTAAAGTAGTAGAAGAGATAAAAACTGATTATTATTTTCTCAGGAAAATTGGGCCGATATCCTCCTATGATGCATCATCACCAGGTACCCACAGGTGGCCAGACTCCTGGGGCTCATTTCCAGAGGTCTCACCTTGCAGAGGCATTTGCAAAGGCCAAAGGATCAGGCGGAGGTGCTGGAGGAGGAGGTAGTGGAAGAGGCCTGATGGGGCAGATTATTCCAATCTACGGTTTTGGGATTTTTTTATATATACTGTACATTCTATTTAAGGTAAGTAGAATCATCCTAATCATATTACATCAATGAAAATATAATATGGCAATAAAAATCAGTCTACATTAAAACTTTTTACAGTTCATAAAATTATTTCAAGTCCATCATCTCTTTAAATCTAGCCTCCTCTTCGTGAGGTACTTAGGATAGCCATTATTTCAGTTTCACATAAGAAATATTTACTCAGTGTTTAAGTGTTTTGCCCCAAAATTCACAACTAACGAGGCAGAACTAGGACTTGAACCTGGATCTTTTGGTTCTTAATCCAGTGAGTGATACAATTCAAAGCACTCCCCCGCCAAAAAAAAACCAAAAAACAAACAAACAAACAAAAAATTGAACATCTTTACAGGTTGAAAAGGAATAAAGATTTTCTAAGAAGAACGTATTGGGATTGGCACAGTGATTTCCAAATAGCCATTGTTAAGGCTGAATAATGCACTTTATCCTCCTTTTTTCTCCACAGGAATATGAGATGCTGTTTTTAATATTATCTCCAATAATTCTCCTAAGACAGAACTGTCCATCCTGAAATTAAGCCTGGTATTTCCTAGCTCTGGGGAGACATGGGTGTGGGTTCTTTAAAGCAGACCCTCAGTTAAGTTCCACCTCCAGGCAGGCCTTTGCAGGTCCCGGGCCCCTGTACCGTGAAGTAGAGGCAGAAGCTTCACTTTGCCCTCCTGTCTAGAGTAAGCTTCAATAAGATGAGTTCTTTCTTGCCCAGGAATTCTGCAGGCAGTCTGAGTTGAGTCTGTAAGAATGCCTGTAGGGTGCCACACATCCCTTTTAGATGAGCATGAGCAAGGAAGATGACCTGTAGGGAGATTTTTTTCCTTGTGTTAGAAATGCTTGTTCCCTGGTGCCGTAAAGAAATAGCACTTGAACATGAATTTAATTTCCTCAGCAAGGCCATTACTTTCTGCAGAAAGGGTACACTCACCAGCAGTTTTGCCAGGAGAGTACACCGAACAAAGGAGACGGTCATTTATAACCTCACGCATCCACCTTACTGCTGTGCCCGGTTTCCATTGGTTGGAACGGGACCTCACATTCTGTATTTGTGCTGATTGGCTAGTGACTTAGAACTTTTTAAAAGAGGCAAAGGCAGAGGAAAACAAAGGAAGGAGGGAAGTAACTTGTGGAATGCTGAAAAAGGTAAAAACACCTTCAAATAAGGATGAGGAACAGGCTATGACCTAATGCTGACTTGGACCAGTATAAACATGCCAGGGCAAATATTTAGGCTAAATTGTGGGAGCTAAGAACATAAAGTACCTTGATTTCTTTATTGCAGCTAGCAGATATCTAAGCATGTTAGCACAAGTCCTTGAATAAATTTTGCTTCTAAGAGAAGTTACTATTCCTAATTAGATGGGGAGGAAAGTCTCTTTGAAGAGGAACCTCTACTTTACTGTTTACACTTGTGCCTTGATAATTTTTTACTTGGAAACCTTCTCATCTTTTGGTGTTTTTTTTTTTTTTTGAGATATTTCTCTAGTGTTGCTATTTGATTTCATTTCTGACTTCATTTTTGTTTTCCAACATTTTTTTTTTTTACTTGATATGAGGGTTTCCATGACTTTGAGGTTCTGAGCTGCTGTTAATGTGCTATACCTCCTTCAATTCTCAGCTGTCAAAGGGGAAAACAACTGCAGAGGATGGTGGGAAGTGCTCTACTGCCACACCTGGAAACACCCACAGGAAAATTAGTAAGTGCCCCTTCTCAGTATATTCACAGGTATTATTGAGTCAAACAGTTTTATAGCCACAGGGACAGTCTGTGGGTATGTCTTAAAAGCATTTCTCAAAAGTTGCTCCAAATTAATCTGATGCCATTTTTGCCTTAGTTCTGAGAATTCTCAAAAGTTTTTATATTGATGTTGGGGTTTTAAGGGAGGGAGAGCTACAAAAAGTACAGAACCATCAGTTCACTTTTTTATGTATTAGCAAATTAATATTTCACATTTGGAATGAATTACTTCTCATTTTCAGACTTCAAAATATGGGTAGCAGAGAGGAAAATGGAGGCAGAGAAATCATATCATTGCCAAAATCAGTTTTTAGATCTAGGGAAAGAGTTTAACACTTCTGACTCTTGAAACATGGCCATCAGATACTTATTACACAACTAGAATATTCTGTGTTCTCTGGGGAAATTAAATTTGTACAACATGGCTCTTTCCTCAAAGAATCTATGGACTAGAATGTATGTCAGGAAAACAACCTATGAAAAATTTTCCACACACAAAAAAGAGACTTGGCAAAAGCATTGCAGGAAATCATATTTATCTGGGCTGTAACTGCTTTTTGGATTTACTTCTGGATTTTCTATGAAACTAAATATCCCAGTCACACTTTGCACCCTTTTTGGAAATCTTAAATATTCACAGAATCCTTTAATAAAACTGCTGTGTTCTTCAATGAGATAGTAATGGGAAGTGTAACAGTACAATAGTTTTTTAAAAATTTGTGGTCTCTTTAACAGGTTTAGGGAGTTGTCTGTGATGGTTCTTAGACTGTTGCTTATTTTTCAGCCAGTTTTGAGCTTGCTCAACTGCAAGAAAAACTGAAAGAGACAGAAGCAGCCATGGAAAAATTAATCAACAGAGTGGGACCTAATGGTGAGAGGTAGGTTTTCATGTAACAGTACTCAGACTATTCTCATTTCGAAAATCAATTCAGGCTGGGAGCAGTGGCTGAGGCCTGGAATCCCACTTCGGGAGGCCGAGGTGGGTGGATCATCTGAGGTCAGGAGTTTGAGACCATCCTGACCAACATGATGAAACCGTTTCTACTGAAAATACAAAATTAGCCAGGCATGGTGGTGCACACCTGTAATCCCAGCTACTTGGGAGACTGAGGCAGGAGAATCGCTTGAACCTGGGAGGCAGAGGTTGCAGTGAACCGAGATTGTGCCCTTGCACTCCAGCCTGGGCAACAAGAGTGAAATTCTGTCTCAAAAAAAGAAAAGAAAATTCAAAATTATGCTTTTTTTTGATAAATAGACCACTTATTTTCATTTTATGTACTGTCAGTTTTTAAATTGTGAATGTGTCATTTATGTATTCTTTATCATTTAACATTTTTCATTCACATACTGTCAAGCAATCTTAGTTTTCAAAAGTTTAGTGTTGTGCAAATTATTGTGAAAGTGAATAAATTTGTGAGTAACTCCTATGGGGTGAAATAACTAGGATTTAAGAAAGAAACTTTCCTAGCTGTCTAAAATAGGTATAATTTTAAGTAAAACCAGGTTATTGAACGTGATGCTTTCTACTTGAGACAAAATGAGAGAAGAGAGCGAGTGTGATCACATTAGGCATTCATGTTTGTGTCAACTGTGCCAGCATAGAATTAGACATGTAAATTAGATGTTAAGAGCCAAACTAGCCATTTAGAATGTCCCAAAGGGAAGATACTCCTCTTCCTACTAGGCTGGCTGAGGATCTGAAAAGGTGGCTTCATGAGGTTGATAGAAGTGGACAACAACCAAGAAAACGTGGATGTAGAAAGGCCAGGAAAAAAAAACCAGAATGTAAGATTGAGGACAAAGAGGGGTTCAGTTTCAGCTAGGTCTTCTGGCAAGGATGGAAGGAGAATGTTAGGGTGAGTGGCAGAATCCCATGCAGAAGGAAGTGTTGAAATGTCCCTCCTGCATCTTTGTGGGCACACTGTGTACTTTTTGCCCCAAGAAATTGTTGCTCTACCTTAGCTTGTATTTGCCATCCTTTATAGTGGTAGTACCCTGTGCCCTTTCTGTGTTCACTGGCTTCAGCCTTGCCTCTGTTTGACTGGATACAAGAGAGTTGGTATCCTCAGATTGCAGCCTCCTGACGTGGCATTTCCCTGCAACATCTGCAGTGCTGTTGAAATGACATTTGTGAGGATGAACCTTGCCTGTGTGGGCCCAGGAGCCTTGACTTTCTTTTTATCTGGAAAGCAGAGTTACTATCTGGAATGTTCCCCAAAGTTGTATAGATACATGAATATATCTTTGTGAGTGTATAATAATAATTGATATTTATTGAACACTTACTAAGGACCACACTCTGAACTAAATGCTTTGTGTACATTATCTAACATATGACTATTTGTATGAGTGTGACTAAACCAATTTGTGCAATTATACTTTTCTGGCCTTTTCTGCCCTAACCCTGTAGCTGCCACCTACAGTCTGGGTGGAGAACTACCCAGGCTATTATAGACCGTTAAGTCTGAAAAAATATCTGTACACTCACCTGGGCCATTGGAAACCCCAGGCCACACCTAAGGGTCTTGAAAACCGTAGATGAATACCTGTGGGCAGGGCCTCTCACTTGGGAGACCCAACTCCTGGAGCTTGGGGTAAGAGACCACGTGAAGATATTTTCTCATTATTATTTATTGTTGAGTAACAGACTCCCTTAACTCAAATTATTCTACCATTTAACCCATGTACATGATCTATCTATAGCCCAAGCCAGGGATGCAATATTATAACCTCTAACTACTGTCTGTCCTCTTCATGCCAGATTTACATCTCCTTGTTGTACTACATCTGGAGTTGTACTGTCTCATTTCAGGGGCCACAGGTCCTAGCCCAAAATGTTTACTTTTTGTAAGATGCTGAGGTGTGGACACCTTGGGAACATATTGATTGAAGCCTGCAGCATGGCAAAGATTGTGTAAAACTCTTTCCACCCTGCCTCTTAGGAACTGGGGAGCAGCTGTCTTCCCACTAGAGAGAGCATGGCTCCTGGCTCTTTACCAAATCTCTCAGTTTTTAGTTCTAAGATGTGATTTTTCTCTCTGACACTCCTGAATCCAACATCTTTTATCCTTACAGGTAGGCCCTATGGGACTTATGCCCTAAAAACTGTAAGGGCTAAGCAGCCCATATGTTTGTATGTTTTCTGTTGGTATAACTGAATGCCACAGACTGTGTAATTTATAAACAATGGAGGTTTATTTAGCTCACGGTTCTGGAGGCTGTGAAGTCCAAGTTTTATAGGAGGTATCTGGTGAGGGTCTTCTTGCTGCATCATCGTATGATGGAAAGGCAGAAGGGCAAGCAAGCACATGCAAAAGAGGGAGGCACCAGAGGCCAGCCCCACTTTACAACAGCCCATCTTGGGATAACTAACCCACTGAGATAATGGCAGTAATCTGTTCGTGAGGGCTCTGCTGTCATGTCCTAATCACTTCATGAAGGCCCCACCTCTTAATACTGTTGCAATGGCAGTTAAGTTTCAACATGAGTATAGGAGGAGACAAATATTCAAACCGTAGCACCATGTTTCTACATGTTTTCCCTTTTATACTTACAGTTTGTGTCCTTTAACCTCAGTTTCTGTGGCATTTGTTCTTTTACAAGTCTGTGCTCCTATGATTATTAGAAAAGCCCAAAATATTCCAGTATTTGTTCTGTCAGATCAAAATTGTATCACATCTCTGGGTTTCTGGGGGTAAAGCAGAAGACACATTCATTTACAGCCTGTTAAGTCCTTTTATATAATATTCCATAACTGCAGGATATTGGCTTAAAATTTGAAAACTCTGCAGTTTCTGAAACTTTCTGAAACTTTACATTAATGCTTAAGTGAGAACAGAAATATGGGGAAAGTTTTTGATATTATCTAATAAAACTTTTCAGAAGGCTTTTACTTGTGAGGGATGTAGGTCTGTACACATATTTGAATAATGAAACATCCTAGAATGTCAGTCTTGTGCCATGTTTTGTCTGATATTAAGCACAGTGTTCATCTCAAGGACACAAAGACTAAGGAAAGGATCTAGGAATCAGAAGTGAGGTGTCCTGATTTCTGTCCTTATGACTTCGGTCCTCTCTTCCCCCACAACACACACTTATTTTGACTCTGAAGGCTTTTGAGGAGAAATGTCACGATTTGCTGTGCTTTAGAAAAATAACTCTTATAGTAATACATAGAGTGACTACATGCTAGAAGGTTATTGAAAAGGTTTCAACAAATGGTAAGAAATAGGCCAGTGAGAGTGGAAAAGTGGGGATAAATTAAGGGGACCTAATGGAAGAAAATAAAATCACAGGCTGTATTCCTTCCTGGAATAGCATGCCCAGTTGTAACAATTTACCTGCTAGAAGCGTGGTATGGTCAAGCAGACCATGAAAAAAGCAGGGACGGTGCACCCTCTGGCAGCAAAGTGCCCTGGTGGGCATGTTGAGTATGTGCGTGGGGCTACAGATTTTTGCCATGAATTCCTGGAATGTAAACTCTTTGAGGCTAGACTTAGCCTATTTTTTTCAGTGTGTTTGTCTGGTAGTTACTAAGTAAATACTTAGTGAATTAGAATACCTGTTCTTTTTTTTTTTTTTTTTGAGACAGAGTCTCTCTTTGTCACCCAGGCTGCAGTGCTGTGGTGCGATCTCAGGTCACTGCAACCTCCATCTCCCGGGTTCAAGTGATTCTCCTGCTTCAGCCTCCGAAGTAGCTGGGACTACAGGCACATACCACCACACCTGGCTAATTTTTGTATTTTTAGTAGAGGCAAGGTTGTTCACCATTTTGGCCAGGCTCAACTCGAATTCCTGATCTCAGGTGATCTGCCCACCTTGGCCTCCCAAAATGCTGGGACTACAGTTGTGAGCCACCGTTCCTGGCCCCTATTCACTTTTGATAAAAGCATTTGTACGCTTTTGTGGTAGAAGAGGAAATCATGACCATTCTCTGTTGAGGTCCTTTACTTCAGTTCCTGACCTCTATATACAGAGCCCACTGGACATATCTCATAGATACCTACCTTTATCCTCCTCATATGATAAATAATCTATTGAATGAATGAATGTCCAAGATGGAATTCATCATCTATCCCCCAAGTGAACCTACTCTACCTTTAATTTCCATCTCAGCAAATGGCTTCACCATCCACTTGGTTGCCCAAAGCAGAAATTAGATGTTATCCTTGATTCACCTTTTATTTTACTTCCCATATCTCATTAATCACCATGTCTTGTCATTTCTACTTAATTAATAAGCCTGTCTCCCTGCAAAAGACTGTAGGCTCTGTGAGGTCAGGGATTGTCCTTCTTAGCTATAGAGCTTAGCAAAGGCACATAAAAGGCTCCAAAAAATATTAGATGAAGTAGAAGAAAGAATGAGTGAGTGAGTGCATGAGTGAGTGAATGAATACCTGTTTTTGACATAGGTCACAACTATCTCATGTGGTTTCTCTAATTTTGCCACCTTTCAGTTTTCTTTCTGTTTTCCAAACAGATGGATTATCTCTTTTGTTTTAATCCTTCAGCAGGTCCCTTTTGATTTTGAAAAAGCATAGAATCTTTAACATAGCTTACATGGTCCTGAGTGACCTGGCCTTTTGTACCTCTCTTGCTTTATCTTTCTTCATCACTCTCTCTGTGGTCCAGCCACACCGACCACTTGCTGTTCCTCTAAAATACCTGTATGTTTTTGCCTCTGGACTTGGCATATACTTTTTCGTATGCCTAGCTCCTCTCTCCCCCGACAACACATGCTTATTTTGACTCTGAAGGCTTTTGAGGAGAAATATCACGATTTGCTATGCTTTAGAAAAATAACTCTTACAGTAATATATAGAGTGACTGTATGCTGGAACATTACTGAAAAGGTTTCAGCAAATGGTAATAAATAGACCAGTGAGAGTGGAAAAGTGGGGACAAGTTAAGGGCACCTAATGGAAGAAAAAAAATCACAGGCTGTATCAGGTTTCTTGGTTGCAAGCAGCCAACTCTGGCTAGCAAAAAGTTTGAAGTACGAGGAGGCAGAATTTATTGGTCTTTAAGAATATGGGGTAGCTTATAATGTCAAAGGAACAACTGAACATCCAGGTTTCAGGAAGGGTGGTAACCAGAGCAGCTTTGGGCATTTAGGGAGTAGGAACAAAGGGACAGTCTCCTCATGGACTGTTGCCAGGATGAATTTAATGTCAAAGTATTCAGTTCAGGCTTCACTGTGTTCAAGGTCCAAAAGTAAAGTTAGCTCAACTTGGGTCCTATATCTATCCCTGAGTCAATCCCTGTAGCCAAGGGGATGGAATGTGATGATTAGCTGTGGGTCATATGGCCACCCTTGAAGGAGAGGTGGGGGATGGATGGCTCACGCTAACCTTTACACTGTGAATGGAAGATGAGTTTGTTCCCCAAAAGAAAACTACTAACCAGATAAGAGCAATGAGGAAGAATAAATAAATAGAGATGCATTGGAGATTTACAGCCAAACTGGAAGGAAGATTATGGCATTAACTAAGATAATATACAAAAGAAGGGAAAGTACATAAGGCTTTGGAGTTGAGATCATAAGTTCAGCACTGAGTATCTCTGAGATGTCATCAGAACATCCATGTGTAATATGAAACAGCAATAGGAAATTTGGTTCTTGAGGTCAGAGCAAAGGGCTCAGGTTTGGAAGTCATTGGCTGGGAGTGAGAGATGGAGAAAATCTCCATGGAGAAAGGTAAGATCACCAAATATTTGAGGCATATCAGACTCTGCTGCTATATCCTGAAATCTTTTACTGATCTGAGTTCTGTTCTAACCATGAATGGTGTTATTAACATCTGTTTAATTATCTGTGCTTAACTCTTGCATTTGGAACTTGATGATTCTGCTGGGCTTACAGAATTCAAAATTCTAGTGAGGCTGTTTCCCAACTGTGACCTTTTATTTTTCTATCATCTTAGAATCTTCCATACTCAGCCTCTTCTGGTCTTCCTGTTCATGGAGTTGTTCACGATTCTGAGCCAACTGGGACCTGGTTTCAGGAGGTGAATTTAAGATTAACTTTAACATAGTCGCAAGGCCTCCAAGTGGAAATGCCCAGGAAATTCCTGGAGTTGTGAGATGGGAATTTGTGTGAAAAGTCAAGATTAATAGTAGCATTAGGACATCTTTTCTGTAGAGGTGACGGTCTAATCTGTGATACTGGGTCAACTTCCTGAGGGCATGATTATAAGAATGGAGAAATGAGAGTCCTAGGATTGAGTCTTGGGAAAATTGTTTTGGGAGGTGGGTGGAAGAAAGTGAGCCAGGGTCATAGACAAAAGGAATGGTTAAGGAAGTGGGAGGAATACAAATGTCTCAATAGCTAAGGGAGGAGGAGGTTTTAAGCAGAGGATGGTCTATAGTATAGAGAAGTCAAGAAGAATGAAATGTGAGAAAAAGACCCTTGGATTTAGTAAAGTGAAAATCACTTAGGAGTAAAAGTTTTTGCAACTTTTGGTAAAATGATAGAATGGAATCCAGAATTCAGGGAGGTGGAAAAAAATAATGGATGGTGAGGAAATGGGGATCAATCAAACTAACACATAATTATTGAGCTCTTAATAGTGATCATGGCATTGTGCCTATACTGTTGTCAACTTAATTATTACTGCCCTCTGGGAGTATCAAACCAAGTTGAGATGATAAGGAATCCATGAAAATATTCATTGCAATAAATTCAGAAGATATCATAAAGTAGACCATGATTAATGCATAATGCCAGATATGGACAATAAAGGTATACTTGTTTAGAGTGAAATGAGGATGCTTTGGTTTGGAGTTCTCTGGGAAAGCTCTTGTCTGTTCTGCTTCCTCTAGTCTACCCATCCTCCTTTAGGATAAGGGCTTCTGATGACTTGGGAAATAGAATTAAGACTGTTTCGTTCATTGAAGATCAGAATGCCCTGTGTACAGTCTGGAAAAGTAACATGTGCCACCTGAAGAGAAAAGAATTTGTGATAGGCAGGTTAGCTCTTCTAGTCAGCCCCAGAAGCCTCACAGAAAGTGGGTTGTTTTAACAGTAAGAAATAGGGGTTATGTGGGACAGATGAGCAGTTTTGGAGAGTCAGGACTCCTGTACTGATGGGAAGAATAGAGCTGTCAGAGGCCCTGTAAGTATAGGATTTTAGCTGAATGTGGAACAGACAGGCATCTTTAGTAGTGCATGGCTTTGAAGCTACTTGGTGTGGAAGAAGTGGAACTCATGGTGTTTTCATTTTTCCTTTTACTGAGGTCTCTGGTAATGTTGGCTCTTCATTTTCCTCAGTTACTATCTTCATGTTGAAAGGAGAAATACTCTTTTCATTTTCTTTATTAGTCATTAAGGCTAAAGTTAGACTGAGCATAGAAATGAGTGCAGGCTCAGAACTGGCTGTTAGAAAAATAGATGACCGTCTCCATAGGCTAGTACAGAGTACATCATTTTTCCTTTGTAAGTGTTGTATTAACTTGTGTTTGGGTTTTAAGAGGAGAATAAGTAGCCTCCATTAAATCCTGCTGCTAGATAAAACTGGTCTCAAAGCAGATAGTTATCAGTCTTCTAAGTAGGACCTTGTTTGCCTAACAGTGTGATGCACTGCTTTCCTCTAAAAGAAAATAATCATACTGTTATCCTTGAGTCTCATGTTATTGTTGCAGATATTTGCCAGAGCCACACAACTAAGTTGGGATTCAAACCAGGTTTTCCAAAATGTGGAACTTGAGCACTGTGCTTCAAGAATTGCACAGAATGTGATCAGAAGCCTGGATGGTTTTAGTTATAGTGCTTCCATTAAGTGGCGGTATGAATATATAAACAATATTTCTCCTCTGTGGACCCCAGTTTCCCCAATTTCTCTAGTCTAGATGATTGAGTTTTCAAAATTACCCACCTCTGAAATTTTAGAATCTATCCTTACACCTGCACAAGTAAATTAAGCCTGGTGATTTCTAGTAGCATAAATTTTCCTGGTTGACGCTAATGGCCTAGAACATTTTCCTTTGATGACCTTGCTTCAGAGAAAAGTGGCTTGTAGTAAATGGAGTAATGTGAGTAACAGTGAAATTGTTAGGCGATTGAGAATCAGGGCATTGAGATACACTGAAAAAACACTGAACTGAAAGCTGAGACATCTGGGGTCTGGTCCTAGTGTTGACATTAACTAATTTTGGGACCTTGGGCAATCACTTGATCTATTCTGGGCTTTAGTTTTCCCATTTATAAAATCAAAACATTGGACTAACATCTCTAGTTCCCAGCTATGCAGTTGGAGGATCAATTCCTAGAAGAATAATCTGCTGCAATTGCACTTTCTATTCCAGTATCCAGCCAGACCATAGTGATGTTTATGTCTGTTGCCTAGGAGTATTTACCACTAAATGGTTGGATTGTCTCATATTTCTAAGCAGAGCACAGACTGTGACTTCTGACCAAGAGAAACGGTTGCTACATCAGCTCCGAGAAATCACCAGGGTCATGAAAGAAGGAAAATTCATTGACAGATTTTCTCCAGAGAAAGAAGCTGAGGAGGCTCCTTACATGGAGGACTGGGAAGGTAAACAGCATCTTCTCATTTTTTTGTTAGCTGTCAGCCCAGAAAAGAGATCGTACAGATTTTTAAAAAATCAGCTTCATTATTGAGGTAAAATATATAAACAGGAATATTAACCAGTTTTAAATGTACAGTTGGATGAGTTTTGACAAATGTATAGAGTTTGTATAATCACACCATAATTTTGATAAAGAACATTTCCATCACCCCAGAAAGCTCCCCCTTCTTTGTAGGTAATGCCCTTCTCCTGCCCCTGGCAACAACTGAAGTGCTTTCTGTACATTTAATTTTGCCTTTTCTGTGTAAGTGGATTATACTGCATATGCTCATTGGCTTCTTTGATTTAGCATAATACTTTTGACATTCATGTTTGTTATTGAGTATATCCATACTTTTTCTCTTGCTGAGTAGTAGTCAGTTATATGCTTATACCATAATTTGTCCATTCACCAGTTGAGGAACGTTTGGGTTATTCCTACCTTTGCACTCTTATGACTCAAGCAGCTATAAACTTCTGCATATGAGTCTTTGTTTGAACATATATTTGTATTTCTTTTGGGTCTATACCTAGGAGTGAGATTTCTGGGTTTAAGGTAATTGTATATTTAACTTTTTTTGTTATTGTTTTTCAAGACAGTCTCACTTTGTCGCCCAGGCTGGAGTGCAGCAGAGCAATCTCAGCTTGCTGCAACCTCTGCCTCCTGGGTTCAAGTGATTCTCCTGCCTCAGCCTCCCAAGTAGCTGTGATTACAGGTGCCTGGCACCACGCCTGGCTAATTTTTGTATTTTTAGTAGAGACAGGGTTTCATCATGTTGGCCAGGCTGGTCTCGAACTCCTGACCTCAAGTGATCCACCTGCCTCAGCCCCTCAAAGTGCTGGGATTACAGGCATGGGTGACCATGCCTGACCACATGTTTAACTTTATTAGAAACTGTCAACCTGCTTTCCTAAGTAGCTCTTCTTTTTTCCTTCCCACCAGCAGTGTATGGCAATTGAAGTTACTCCACATCCTTGGTAACACTTGGTCTTGTCAGTCTTTTTAATTTTATCTATTCTAGTGGGTGTAAAGTGATATCTTAATTGTGACTTTAATTTACCTTTCTCCAGTGACTAATGATGATGAACATTTTTTCATGTGCTTATTTGCCATCTGCATATCTTTGAAGTGTCTGTTCAAATCGTTTGCCAATTTTTAAATTGGGTTGATTAGGTTCTTGTTGGGTTGCAAGAGTTCTTTATATATTCTGAGTACAAGTTATTTGTCATTTCTGTATTTTGCAAATATTTTATGTAGCTTGCCTTTATATTTTCTTAACAGTCTTTCAAAGAGTAGAAGTTTTAAATTTTGATGAAGTCCAACTTACCATTTTTTCTTTATGATTTGCTTTTTTTTTTTTTTTTTTGAGACAGAGTCTTGCTCTGGCCCCCCAGGCCTGAGTGCAGTGGCGCCATCTCGGCTCACTGTAAGCTCCACCTCGCAGGTTCACACCATCTTCCTGCCTCAGCCTCCCTAGTAGCTGGAACCACAGGCGCCTGCCACCATGCCTGGCTAATTTTTTTGTATTTTTAGTAGAGATGGGGTTTCACCGTGTTAACCAGGATGGTCTCAATCTCCCGACCTTGCGATCTGCCTGCTTCGGCCTCCCAAAGTGCTGGGATTACAGGCGTGAGCCACTGTGCCAGGCCCATTTTTTATGTTCTATTTAAGAAATATTTGCCTAACCCAAGGTTTGCCTAACTCCCATGTTTTCTAGAAATTTTACGGTTTTAGCTTTTACATTTAGGCCTGTGATCTATTTTGAGTTAACCTTTATAGATGGTCTGAGGTATCAGGACTGAGGTTTATTTTTTTCCATACCAAATACCCAATTGTTCAGCTTCTTTCGTTACATTTAATTAGCTTGACATTTGCTTGAAAAACCAGTTGACCATACATGTGCTTGTCTGTTCTGGGCTCTATTCTGTTCCATTGATCTGTATGTCTCTACTTGTACCAATAGCACATGGTCCTTATTACTGTGTCTTTATAGTAAGTCTTGATTTTGGGTAGTTCAAGTTGTTCAGATTTTTTTTCCAAAATTATTTTGGCTATTTCCTTCACTATTTCAGATGAATTTACAATTAGTTTGTCAGTTTTTATGAAAAAGCCTGATGGGATTTTGATTGGTACTGCTTTGAATCATTAAATCAATTTGGAAGAATCAATACAGTAACTATATTGAATCTTCTAGTTCATGAACATGTTATGTCTCACCATTTATTTAGATCTTTTAAAAGTTCTCTCAGCAATGTGTGGTAGTTTCCAAGGTATAGGTCTTGCATATGTGAGGGATACTGGTCTGTGATTTTCTTTTCCTGTAATGTCTTTGGTTTTGATTTCAGGGTAGTCCTGGCCTCATAAAATGCATTGGGATGTGCTCCTTTTTCTGTTTTCTGGAAAAGTTTCTGTAGAGTTACTGTTATTTATGCCATACAAGTTATGTGGAATTCTCCAATGATATTATCTTAGTCTGGAGTTTTGTTTTCTTTTTTCTTTTCTTTTCTTTTCTTTCCTTCCTTCCTTTCTTTTTCCTTTTTCCTTTTTTTCTTTTCTTTCTTTTGTTTTTCTCTCTCTTTTTTTTTCAGGGTCTTGCCCAGTTGCCCATGAACAGTGGCACATGATCATGGCTCACTGTTTGATCTCCTGGGCTCAAGCAACCCCCCAACCTCAGCCTCCTCAGTAGCTGGGCCTACAGGCATGCACCACCATGCCTGGCTAATTTTTTAATTTTTCAATTTTTTAAATTTAAAAAATTAGCCAGGCATGGTGGTGCATGCCTGTAGGCCCAGTTACTCATGCCTGGTCTTGTACTCCTGGTCTTAAGCAATCTTCTCGTCTTGGCCTCCCAAATGCTGGGATTATAGGTATGAGCCACTGTGCCCATTTGACCTGGAGTTTTCTTTGTGGGAAGATGCCTATGAATTTAATGTATTTTATGGATATAGTGCTATTCAGGTCATTCACTTCTTGAGTGAACTTTGATACTTTGTATCTTTCAAGGAATTTACATAGTTCATCCTTGTTGTCAACTTTGTTATTAGTATAAAGTCGTTCATAATATAGTCTAATTATCCATTTAATGTATGTAAGATCTGTAGAGATGCACGCTCTTCTATTCTTGATCCTGGTAATTTGTTTCTTTTTCTGATCAAGGTGCCCAGAGGTTTATCAACCTTGTTATCTTTTCAAAGAACTATATTTTGGTTTCTTTTTTTTTTATTTATTTTTTATTTTTTTTTTGGTTTGTTTCTTATTTCATTGACTTGTGTTTCTTTCTTTCTGGTACTTTTGGTTTAATTTGCCTTTTTCTAGTTTCTCAAGGTGGAAGCTTAGACCTGTGATCTATATTTTTGGCCATTATTTTATTAATGATCTGTGTCTTTGTATCTCTCTTATTTCTTTCTGGCTCTCCAGTTGCATATATGTTTGATATTACCCCACAGGTCATGTAAGTTCTGTTCACTGTTTTTCAGGTTTTTTTTTTCCTTACCGTGCTTAGTTTTGAATAGTTTTTCCTGCTATGTCTTCAGGTTTATTTGTGTCTTCTACTGTATCTAACCCACTGTTAATCTTATTCAGTGTTTTTTAATTTCAGATATTATCATTTCTAGAAGTTTCATTTGGGTCTTTTTTATATCTCATTTATTCATATTTTACTTTCTTAAACATATGAGGCATATCTGTAATAGCTTTCTTGACTGTTTTAATTGCTAATTTCATCATCCATGCCATTTCTGGGAGTGTTTCTGTTGACTAATTATTCTCCTGGTAATGGGTCCTAATTTCTTTTTTTTTTTTTTTCATACCTGGTAGGTTTTGATTGGATGATGGATATTACAAACTTTACATTGTTAGGTGCTGGATTTTGTTTTAGTGCTTTAAATAGTGTTGGATTTCATTAGGTTAGCAGTTAGGTTAGTAGAAAACAGTTGAATCCTTTAAGGCTTTAGCATTTTTTAGGTTGGGTCCAGAACAGCCTTTATTCTAGGGCTAATTTTTTAGTTATATGCTTATACCATAATTTATCCATTCACCAGTTGAGGAACGTTTGGGTTGTTCCTGGCTTTGCACTCTTATGACTCAAGCCGCTATGAACTTTTGCATATGAGTCTTTGTGAATATTTATAGCAGGTTACTTTTAATAGCCAAGAACTGGAAACAACCTGAATGTCTTTTAGGAGGTGAATAAACTGTGGTATATAAATACTGTGGTATACACTCAGCAATAAAAAGGAATGAACTATATGTACAACAACCTATATGAATTTCTGGAGCATTATGCTGAGTGTAGGGGGGAAAACTAATTCCCAAAGGTTACATACTATATGATTCCATTTATAATTGACATGGCAATATTATAGAAATAGAGAACTGATCAGTTGTTGCTAGGAGTTAAGACAGGAATAGGAGTAGGAAAGAGTGAGTGTGCCATGAAGGGGCAACATAAGGGATCCTTGTGGTGATGGAAAATGTTCTGTATACTGACTGTATCAATATTAATATCCTGGTGGTTATATTGTAGTATAGTTTTGCTAGATGTTGCCTTTGGGAGAAATTGGATAAAGGGTACATGAGATTTCTCTATTACTATTAGTATTATTTTTTAAAGGGATAGGGTCTTAACCATGTTGCCCATGCTGGGGCTCAGGCGATCCTCCCACCTCAGCCTCCTGAGTAGCTGGGACTCCAGGTGCATGCCACTGTGCCTGGCTTGTATTATTTCTTATATACTGCCGGTGAATCTATAATTATCTAAAAATAAAAAAGGTTAATTTTTTTAAAAAGCAACACAAATTCTAAGGGAAAAGATTGTGTAACTTAAATACATAAAACTTTTACCTTCTGCAGATCAGAGAATATTACACAGTTTAAAGGACAAGAATAAACTGGAAAAATATTTATAACAAATATAATTGAAAAAAGTTCCTTTTTTTTTTTTTTTTTTTTTTGAGACAGAGGCTT